GTTAATTTGGTTTACAATTAAGCTAATTTGGTTCACTATTTAGCTAATTTGGTTCACGATTTAGTTTATTTGGTTCACAAATTATAACCATACTTTAATATTAAAATTATTTGTACATTATTTATATCCATCTAAAGGTAATGTTTTAAACAAAGTTTTTCTTTTCATGATATTGCGTGAAGGTAGCTAAACAAATCCCTGAATCCCCGGGCCCTGGTTATATCTCTCACTCATACTAATGTGTACTATATTTGTGAGCCTAAACTTTGAAGGATATTAAAAACGTGTAAGAGTTTGACTCCCAATTTGACTCCTTAGACAGGTCTGATCTAAACAATACTTGGATTAAAAATGAATTAATAAACTAGGAAATTAAGATAAATATTGATATAACTCTTAATCGTATAGACATTTGGGTGACAACAGGGTAAATATTTCGATAATTTATAATTATCTTAAATTATTGTTAAATGAGAATTGTTATGATGATACCTGTACAATCAATTTAGCAATACTTTAATATAAGTGTTTTATTATTGATCAGTATTTATATCAGATGTGGTTTATCGTTTAAAACAAATAACTGATTCGTACCGTATATAAATACTTCAAAGTTGTGAAATAAATTGCACAGTAACACTTTATACAAATTTACTGAACACCTTTAATCAAATATTATTATTGTTATTGTATTTATTCAAAAATGACTTCAGTAATATTTATATTGACTGCGGGACTGGTGTTGACTTATGTAGGAAATGTTAAAATATAATTTGAGAGACAACATTCTGAATTATTCGATGTGTCTGTGCAAACAAACTGTAAACTATAGTATGTCACTTTATATCATATAGTAACTAATTTGGGCATAATATAGTATAAAGTGAAATACTTGAGTTTACAGTTTGCCTGTACAGATACATACATCGAATGATTCAGAATGTTGCCTCTCATATGATTTATAAATACTAAAATCATATCATTCACAGAATGCTTGCGAATCAGTTCGCGAGTTCAAAGTGGATCCCGAAAACAATGTGTTCCTCAAAGATGGTCAACCATTTCGGTACGTCTCGGGAACTCTTCAGTACTTTAAAGTGCCATCAGTTTTATGGTCTGATAGGATGACCAAATACAAAGCCGCCGGACTTAACGCCATTCAAACGTATATTATAACTGATAGTATGAGCGTATTATTGACATATTTTGACCCTATATTCAGTGTTATTGAGTGGAGTTTTCACGAACCAGAAGAGGGTGTCTTTGACTTTACCGGCGATAGAGATCTCATTAAATTTATTCAAACCGCCAATGATTTGGGACTTTTGGTTATCCTAAGAACCGGGCCTTTTATTAACGCCGAAAGAGATTTCGTTAGTATTAAGTGATTATTAAATTATTTAATGAAAATGTTTTATACATTATATGACATTAGGGTGGACTCCCATACTGGCTATTGTCTAATAATCCGGACATGAAATTTAGGACATCTGATCCGTCGTACGTGAAAGCCGTCGAGAAATGGTTTTCCCTATTACTGCCAATGTTGGCGCCCATGCTGTATAAAAACGGCGGACCAGTTATCATGGTCCAGGTCGAGAACGAGTACGGATTGTACTATGCCTGCGACTATGCCTACACTTCCCATTTACGGGACCTACACATTCACTACTTGGGCACAGATGTCCAGTTGTTTACTAACGATCCCTACGGCGACTACTTAAAATGCGGACAAATTGCTAACGTGTTGGCGACCGTCGACTTTGGTCCCACCGACGATCCCGTCCAGGCGTTCAAAGTTTTGAGGGATTACCAGAAGTTTGGGCCGTCGGTTAACTCCGAGTACTACACGGGTTGGATAGACCACTGGGAACGACCCCATTCCACAGCCACTTCCCTGCAAGTGTGCCATACGTTGGACGCTATACTGGCGCTGAACGCGTCCGTCAATATGTTTGTAAAACTTCTTTTGGGGTTTAGTCGCCAGAAATCAATTCAATATCTGAGAGGCCAATGCCAATAGTGTATCAGACAAAAGCTTTAATCTTAATCTTTCAATATTACTCTTATGGAAGATTAAGATTAAAGCTTTTTTCTGATACACTATTGGGATTGGCCTCTCAGATATAATGTTTGCGTAATAGATATCCACTTCACGGCGGGACTAACTTTGGGTTTGGTTCCGGTGCCGATCCCGATGACGGTGTATACGATCCCTGTATCACGAGCTATGACTTCAATGCCCCCCTCACTGAGGATGGAGACCCCACTCAGAAATACTTTGATGTCCGCAATGTTATTGGAAAAGTAAATATATGTTTTAGTTTTGTATTAAAATTTCTATCTTGATCATTTAATTTATCTCGTTAATCAACAGTACCAAACACTTCCTAACGTTACACTCCCGGTGCCGTCGCCTAAAATGGAGACCAAACCCATAGTTATGAAACCAATTCTTAGTATATATGACATTATCTCATCCCTAACTCCCGTGGAATCGGTATATCCGTTGAGTTTTGAAAAGTTAAGAATAAAGGATGGATTCATACTCTACTCGACAAACATTACATTCAAACCGTCAGATCCGGCAGTTTTGGCAATAAGTGAACTCAAAGACAGGGCACAAGTGTTCGTCAATCAGGTATAACTACTTTAAGTGATATAACATATAAAATGGTTTACATTTAATGGCTTATAAATTGTGTGACAGAAATATGTGGGCACTTTAAGCCGGACACATAATATACACGCTATAAATGTAGACATCGCGTTGGGATCGCAACTGGATTTATTTGTCGAGAATCAGGGTAGATTTTCTTTCGGCGACACTATCAATGAATTGAAAGTATGAATTGTGATTACATTTGATCGTCTCCGTGCATAAAAGGGTTATGTATTTTTCAATTCAAACTATATACATAACATAATCATGGCTTTAATAGTATCTAATATTGTTTATTACTTTGAGAAATGCAATGATTATGTTATGTATACAGTTTTGATTAAAAAATACATAACCCTTTTAAGCACCCAATGGATCATTTGAGAAAATTATGTTACCCTGACATTTGATTTGTCACCCAAAAGGGCATCACATCTAATGTGACCATAGGTTCCGTAGTAGTGGAGGATTGGCGCCATTACTTGGTGTTCAAGAATTGGACTAAAAGTATGGCTGATATTCACGATTATTCGGATGCCTTCCCAACACATCCCACTCCAGCGAATGGGAGTTCCTTTGATAGGATTCCCTCATTCTATACGTCAGACTTTGTATTACCCGACACTAAGGGATACCCTTTCGACACATTCCTACGTCTGGACGGATGGCATAAAGGGCTCGCATTTCTCAATGGCTTTAATTTGGGTCGATATTGGACTGTCGGCCCACAAATCACACTATACTCACCGAAACATCTGTTCAACGCATACCCCAAACCAAACAAATTAATAGTCTTTGAATTGGAAAGTCCTTCAAACAGTAAAACTGTTCAATTCGTGACACAAAGTGTTTTGAACGCAACAACGATTCCCAACCCTCACCAATAATTTTAATAAAAATGTTTTATAAACTTTTCTGTTTAAAAATAAGTTTATGTCTATTATAATTTATCTTAATTAAGAATTGTGCTTACTATTTACAAATTAAATGGTTGCTATTTATTTTTAAAAAGTCAGTTGAAAATAAAGTCATGTTTTATGCATCATTTCGTTTTTATTGCAGTTTTATATAATAGTTTTAAATTTAAATACAATTTTTGTAACTTCTGGTAAAAATCAAAGGCCCAACGATAGGGGAAACTATATTTAATTAATAAATAGAATATCATATATGGATCACACCATGCAGAATAATCCTTAAAAGCAAACAGCATGTGCGGTATACAATGTTATTCTATGGGTTAGTGGCACTAACTTAGTGCTAAGATTATAGCTTGAAATGTATACTCTTAAGCTACGATGCGCATACATTATAATCCGGACCACATTAACAGTGACAAAACAGTGACTATTATAACATTAGTCAGTATAGAGATTAATGTTAAAATGTTTACAGTTTTGTCACTCATAGTGTGACCCCAAATGGTTCCGGTGTGCATCGTAGCTCTTAAGGATTATTCAACTAGCAGTCCATATGAAAACATTTTCTAAATATATATATAATTTCAGTAGATATAATTATAAATACATTATTTTTGTTAATAATTTGTTAAATACAGAGAATTGATGAGATATTTAGTTTCTATCTCAAAAAACCTACAACCTAAAAGGCCTACTCTGACAAAAAAATCTAAATATCTTTTAATTCACTGTATTAATGTGGACTAAAGGTAGTCATATCCACATTTTTGATAATTATAATATATAATTATATTAAACAAGTAAATGGTAAACAAAATAAAATTCTAATTATTGTTTTCTTACATTTTAATAATTTATTAATTAAATTTTTGAACTAGATGTGATTTAATGATTAATGAACAGTTTTCAATTAAAATAGTTTAATTATTTATTTTTCTGATCTATAATTTTATCTTATATATTAACAAATGCTTAAATTAATTACTTTGTCACTTATTGTGTCATTTACTATTTAATTAAAGTAATACTTATTTTGAATTAATATAAAGTTTTTTAATTTATAAATATTTATAAAAAAATTAATTAAATAATTTTACTTAAAATTTATATTTTATTTATTTGACATCAAACCAAAATTTTACTTATTAAATACAAATTGTGATTAACCATAATAAGTAACAATACAACTAATATGGCTGAAACTTATCTAGAACATAATATTATTACATAATTTTCAAATTATAAAATATTAGCACATGTCTGATATATAATTTGTACTGTAATACTGTATGTGTTATTATTAAAATAATTAATTATTTAACATACAAGGTTGTGTAGTTAGTAAACATTATTTATTACGTGAAACCCTATGACCCAGGTTATAGCTCTTTAAAACTAGCCAGTAGGTCCACCAATGGTAGCATGAACGACTTTGGGCGCCGTTGGTTTTTTCGCTTTTTAGGTACCGGTTCTGGTAATTAGAATTAAATTAAATTTTTAAAATACAAAATTAAATTTTTAATTTATACCTAAGCTGGAACATTTATCGGAGCCCTCCGTATAATCGCTGCATATCAAATCGATAACATTGCCAAAAAGTGACCTGATCCAATCCAGGGTAATGTCAATCTGTTGCTCAGTACAGCTCTTAACGGTTCGCATACGAGTCTCCGAACACGAAAATATGCGAAAATATTCACTGCAAAAATGAACTTGTTAATATTATAAGAAACGTATTTATGTGTTTTATTTTAGGAAAGTTGCTCGAAATTGAACCAATTTCAAAATTATGTCAATCACTGAATATTATAGTTAAACTTGGTGTGTATTATTACAGTTTTTATGTTTGAACTACATTTTTTATATACTGTATTATCATATAATACACTAGTATTAGCATTTTATTAAATTGTTGATCATTTTAGTATTTATTTATAATATCGTTAATATAAAACTAAATATATTAAAATAACGGAACATTAAAATATTTAAAAATAAATTTTTAGTACCTAGAAGTACCTCCATTATTTAAATTATAT